AACATAATAATATATAATAATGAAATTGTACTATGCTAATAATATAATATGTTGTTTGTATATATATATCTTGTAAGCTGCTCTGAGTCCCCTTCGGGGTGAGAAGGGCAACATATAAATGCCGTAAATAAATAAATAAATAAATTCAGCACTAAAATGACTATGGTATATTACACAAATCTAATGCACACCCTACTTTTGGCTAGGTAATTTAGCCAAAAAAAAGTTTCACCAAATTTGGTGGACTTCTAGCAAGTTCACAAAGGGATTCAACAGTTTGTTTGTTTTTTTTAAAAAAAACAACGTATCAAATCTGTGTGCCTTTATTTCGAAATGAACAAAATAGTGTAGCTAAGAGAAAAAGTAGAGCAAGCAGATGTCCAGTTTTGCGTGTGTGTGTCTGATTATAGTTATGCTGGTTAGTTTGCCCCAGTTTTTAAAAATACAATCAGCCAGCTGGCTGACCTCTGCTACTCTGCCAAGCTAGAATCAAAACGCACTCACAGCCAAGCTGTTTACTAGGCTCTAACTACAGTGTATGAAACCTTTCAAGGAAATAAGTGGTCTACTGCTGAAAACATAACTGAATATGGAAGGGACGGGGATGGGTTCTGGCACTCTGCTTTCAGGTTTATGTATTTTTTGTTAAAGGGCAATGGCCAGGGAGAAGCTAAGGACAATGACCCTCCTCTCAATGTCATGGATACGTTTATGGGGAAACAGAGAGCAGTTTCCTGGAAAAGCATATCTTGATTTCAGTAGGAAGGCCCCATGACATTCTCACAATGGAACTAATAAAATGTGGTCTAGACAATGATACTGTTACGTGGATTGGGAATTGGTAGATTGGCCAGACGCAAAGGGTGCTTACCCAAAGGGCCCTCCCTCCAGATGTTTTGGACTTCCAACTCTCACCATTCCTAACAGGGTGAGACGAGGGAGAGAGACTATTTCCTCTTTTTTAAAAAAACCATTTTGCTGCCTTATATTAGTTCAGTTTCTCCTTTTATATTGGTTGGGACTTTCTGTATGCTGTTATACCTTTGTACTTTATATCACAGGCAATAAAACACTCTTGTGTATAACAAAGTAACACAGGTTATAACTTCTGGCTCCAACGCTTGTGGTTACACTTGTGTTTTGTTGCAATCTTGAGGCTTACAGTCAGTATCATTTACTTGGTTAACTTTTCTGAATAAACTATCAAAGTTTCACATTCACAAACATGTTACTTGCTTTACACACTCTTGGCTGAATTATATTCTGAACTAAGGCAACACTAGCCTTCTTTATGTTCCTTAAAACTCGAGCTCTATTTAACTAACTGCTTCTCTATATCAGAAGTCTTTAACACATCTTCATAACTGCTTATTTCTATCAGGCACTCAAAAAAACCAACTCTCCTCTTTACACACAGATTCCTGTCATTTTTAAACTCCCTCACTCTAACTGCCTCTTTCAGAACTTTGGCTCCGCCCCTTTGAAATGTTCAGCTCTGCTCTCCCCAACTGTCATTTTGGCCTAGCAGCCTTTTCAAATCCTGGGCCTACACTAATCTGCATATGACCAATCGGCTTCACATATGCAAATGAATCCTATCTCTGCTGTTGCTACCTGTCTGTGCCCACTCTCCCCTATCTGCCATATGTATACTGTTTTCTTAATAAAGTTATTACTTACTAGCCGTCCCCTGCCATGCGTTGCTGTGGCCCAGTCTGGTGATCTGGAAAATAAAGTAATGAGAAGGTGTTGGTTTCTAATATATGTAATTTATTTATGCTTGTGGGTAAACAGTATTTGTTGTCTCCTTGTCAGTGTTGATGTAGAGATTGTTTGGTTTGCCTACTCTGGAACATGCAAAATTTAATTGTCCTTCTTTAGGAGTCCCTTTCAAATCTATGATGCTATATCTCTCATATATATGTGTGTGTGTAAATCATATATATATATCTATATCTATGGCTGGATGGTTCTTTGTTAGGAGAGCTTTGATTATGTTCTCTTGCGCTGGTGAAGGGAATTGGACTAGATGGCCTTAAGGCAGCATTTCTCAACCTGGGGGTTGGGACCCCGGGGGGGGGGGGGGGGGGGGGGTTGCAAGGGGTGTCAGAAGGCTTGCCAAAGTCCACCAGAAAACACAGTATTTTCTGTTGGTCATAGGGGTTCTGTGTGGGAAGTTTGGCCCAATACTATCATTGGTGGGGTTCAGAATGCTCTTTGATTGTTGTTTGTTGTTCATTCGTTCAGTTGTTTCCGACTCTTCGTGACCTCATCGATCAGCCCACGCCAGAGCTCCCTATCGGTCGTCACCACCCCCAGCTCCTTCAAGGTCAATCCAGTCACTTCAAGAACACCATCCATCCATCTTGCCCTTGGTTGGCCCCTCTTCCTTTTTCCTTCCATTTTCCCCAGCATCATTGTCTTCTCTAAGCTTTCCTTTCTTCTCATGATGTGGCCAAAGTACTTCATCTTAGCCTCTACTATTCTTCCCTCCAATGAGCAGTCAGGCTTTATTTCTTTGATTGTAGGTGAACTATAAATCCCAGTAATGACAACTCCCAAATGTCAAGGTCCATTTACCCCAAACTCCATCTGTGTTCACATTTGGGCATATTGAGTATTCGTGCCAAGTTTGGTCGAGATCCATAATTGTTTGAATCCTCAGTACTCCCTGGATGTAGGTGAATTACAACTCCAAAACTCAAGGTCAGCTCCCGCCAAACTCTTCCAGGTTTTTCTGTTGGTCATGGGAGTTCTGTGTGCCAAGTTTGGTTCAATTCCATTGTTGTTGGAGTTCAGAATGCTCTTTGATTATAGGTGAACTATAAAGCCCAGCAACTATGGTCCACATTGTTGGATTCTTGTGTTTTTAAATGTTGTGTTTTATTGCTGATATCCGAACGTATCTCTGCCTATGAACCCACCAGGACTCTAAGATCTTCTGGGGAGGCCCTGCTCTCGATCCCGCCTGCATCACAAGCATGGCTGGCGGGGACGAGGGACAGGGCCTTCTCTGTGGTGGCCTCTCGGCTGTGGAACGCCCTTCCCATGGACATTAGATCAGCCCCTTCGTTAATGGTGTTTCAAAGAAAACTAAAAACCTGGCTGTTTGAACAGGCGTTCAGATAAACTGTGCAATGTACACGATGAATATAGGAAATGGAATTATGGATGACGAATTGGATCACGATTCTAGTTACGAGACGTTAATGTGTTGTTATTGATGTGTCATTATCCTGTATATTATGTTGTTAATGGTTTTTAAATTCTGTATGTTGTTGGATTGACTTTTTGCTCTTGTTGTGAACCGCGTTGAGTCGCCTACGGGCTGAGAAACTGCGGTATACAAGCAAAGTAAATAAATAAATAAATAAATAAACTGTAACTCCCAAATGATAAAATCATTTTTTTGGGTGATGGTCATTCCTTGCGTTAGTAGGTATCTTGTGGCCAAATTTAGCAGCAATTCGTCCAGTGGGTTTTGAGTTATGATGTCACTCAAAACGAAGATTACATTTTAATATATGTAGACTGGCCGTCCCCTGCCACGTGTGGCTGTGGCCCAATCTTTGTATATGTGTTTTGTGTGTGTATAAATATGTGTTTATATGTGAATTTGCACCTGCATTATAAAGTATTTTTTGGGGGGTTTTGGCTTTGTAAGCCTCTTCTGCTGTGTTTTCCAGCATTTTTATGAGTGGTGGTCTCTCATTGCCCTGATAGGTGTATTGTGTCCAAATTTGGCGTCAATTAATCCAGTGGTTTTTGAGTTATGGTCCACATTGTTGGATTCTTGTATTTTTAAATGTTGTGTTTTATTGCTGATATGTTATTTATAATGGTTTTGTATTGTATTGTATTTTTTATTTATTTATTGCTGTGTTGGTTTATACTGAGGTATTATATTGTTGGGCTTGGCCTCATGTAAGCTGCCCCGAGTCTCCTTGGGGAGATGGTGGTGGGGTATAAATAAAGTTATTATTATTATTATTATTATTATTATTATTATTATTATTATTTTAATCCTACAAATGAACATTTCATTTTTATTTACATAAATTAGCTAGATAGATAGCTAGATAGATAGCTAGATAGATAGCTAGATAGATAGATGTTGTTGTTCATTAATTCAGTCGTCTCCGACTCTTCGTGACCTCATGGACCAGCCCACGCCAGAGCTCCCTGTCGGCCGTCACCACCCCCAGTTCCTTCAAGGTCAGTCCAGTCACTTCAAGGATGCCATCCATCCATCTTGCCCTTGGTCGGCCCCTCTTCCTTTTGCCTTCCACTTTCCCCAGCACCATTGTCTTCTCTAGGCTTTGCTGTCTCCTCATGATGTGGCCAAAGTACTTCAACTTTGTCTCTAGTATCCTTCCCTCCAATGAGCAGTCGGGCTTTATTTCCTGGAGGATGGACTGGTTGGATTTTCTTGCAGTCGAAGGCAGTCTCAGAACTTTCCTCCAACATCACAGCTCAAAAGCATCGATCTTCCTTCGCTCAGCCTTCCCTAAGGTCCAGCTCTCACATCCGTAGGTTACTACAGGGAATACCATGGCTTTGACTAGGCGGATCTTTGTTGCCAGTCTGATGTCTCCACTCTTCACTATTTTATCAAGATTGGACATTGCTCTCCTCCCAAGAAGTAAGCGTCTTCTGATTTCCTGGCCACAGTCTGCATCTGCAGTAATCTTTGCACCTAGAAATACAAAGTCTGTCACGGCCTCCACATTTTCTCCCTCTATTTTCCAGTTGTCAATCATTCTTGTTGCCATAATCTTGGTTTTTTTGATGTTTAGCTGCAACCCAGCTTTTGCGCTTTTTTCTTTCACCTTGATTAGAAGGCTCCTCAGCTTTGGTGGTGGTGCTTTGGGTGAAAAGGAGTCACGCAGGCGGATGGGCTGCAACGGCGCCTCCCGCCCGCGAGGGGTCGCTGGAGAGCAGTGGTGTCAGAGAAGGCGTCGCGCGGCGCGAGGGAGTGAGCGACGGAGGGAGGGAGGGAGGGAAGGCGTCGCGGGGCGATGACGCAACCGCAGTCCGCCTCAGCCTCGGGAGCAGGATGTCACCTCGCGCGCGGCTTTGGCGTGAGGCGGCGACGGTGCTGCTGGCGGCGGGAGGCGCTTCTGGCGGCGGCTCGGCCTCCCCTTCCTCCCCCTCGGCGCGCCGCTTCGACTACCAGGTGCTGCTCCTCCGGCGGAACCCCCGCAGCGCCTTCCTGCCGAGCGCCCACGTCTTCCCGGGCGGCGTGGCCGACGCGGCGGACTTCTCCCCGGAGTGGTGGGCGCTGCTGCCGGGCCCGGCGCCTCTCTGCGGCCTACGCCCCAGGAGAGGCCCAAAGGCGCCGCTCTTCGCCGCCGAGCGCCCCGAATTGGGCCGGGCCTTGCCCGGAGACTTAGCCTTCCGCCTCTGCGCCATCCGGGAGACCTTCGAGGAGGCCGGCCTGCTCCTCGTGACCGAGCGGGACCAGGCCGAAGCCGCCATCGCGGCCTCTTCCTCGCCGGAAGGGTTTACCCCGCGCTTACTTCCCCCGGAGCAGCTCCCGCTGACGGGCCCCGAGCTGGCCGAGTGGCGGCGGAAGGTGCAGAGGCAGCCGGGTCTCTTCCTGGCGCTGTGCCGCCGCCTGGGCCTGGTGCCCAACATCTGGGCCCTGCGCGAGTGGAGCAACTGGCTCACGCCGCGCGCCCTGGCCGGGAAGGGCGGGCGCAGGTACGACACCGCCTTCTTCCTCTGCTGCCTCGCCCACGCGCCCCCGCCGCACCCCCCGCACGGCGCCCACGAGCAGGACGGAGAGGTCACCGCCTGCCAGGTGAGGGACGCCCGACAGCCCAAGCAGTCCTCATACTCATACTCCTTTCTGTCAGGCAGGGAGAGCACCATCAAAGCTCTCCCAACAGATGGCCATCCAGCTTCTGCTTGCATATAAGATTAATAACAATAAAATCATCCAGTCCAACCCCTTTATTCCTCCAGGGAGGAAGAGCACCGTCAAAGCTCTCCCAACAGATGGCCATCCAGCTTCTGCTTGATGAAAAGAAGAATACTAATAAAATCATCCAGTCCAACCCCTTTATTCCTCCAGGGAGGAAGAGCACCATCAAAGCACCCCCAACAGATAGCCATCCAGTCTCTTCTTGAAAATCACAAGAGAAGATAGAATAATAATAATAATAAAAACTTTATACCCCACCACCATCTCCCCAAGGGGACTCGGGGCAGCTTACATGAGGCCACGCCCATCAGTACAATAACACAGTATAACACAAGAACACAACAGAAAATAAGAAAATAAAACAACATAAAATACAAAACCAATATAAATAAACAGCGCAACAATATAAAATCAAAACATTAAATCACTAAAAATGAACATAGTAGGCAGGGCCAATTTCAAAGGTTAAAATTTTAAACATAGCCTCCACTTGTAATGATACGCTCATGGATTCAGGGAGGTATAATCCACAGCCAAAATAATATTACATGTTGTATATCTTGTATCCAGAATTCCAAGAAGCTCCAAAATCACCCCATGGGTGCTTGAGATTGTGACACATTTGCATTGTTGATGGTTCAGTGTACACAAATTTGGTTCCATGCTTAAATTAAAGCTATTTATACAATTATAGTCAAGCTTTGTGTATAAGGTGTCAGTAAAACAAATGAATTCCATGTGTATATTTCAGTCCCATCTCAAAGGTCTGTCATTATACATATGCAGATGTACTGTACCTATTTTAAACATTCAAAGTGTTTCTGGGCCCTAAGATTTTGTATTGGTCCCATAATCAATATATATAATTTTAATTGAGTGAATGGCTCTCTTTCGTAGGGAGCAACAGTAGCTTTCAGTCCCCCAAAAGTGACTTTTGAAAGAGTTGCAGGAAACAATGCTGTACTATTCTGCCACTTTTGATGGCAGATAATTGCAGTAAGTTCAATTTATAATAGAAAACGAAAAGACTGTGTTCTCAGACTACTGTTTTTCTTTGCCATAAAAATGGCTACCATTCAGTTCATTTCTCAACCTTCCTAATGCCACAACCCCTTAATACAGTTCCTCGTGTTGTGGTGACCCCCAACCATAAAATTATTTTTGTTGCTACTTCATAACTGTAATTTTGCTACTGTTATGAATCATAATGTAAATATCTTACATGCAGGATGTATTTTCATTCACTGAACCAAGTTTGGCACAAATACCTAATATGCCCAAATTTGAATACTGGTGGGGTTGGGGCGGGGGATTTTGTCATTTGGGAATTGTTGCTGGGATTTATAGTTAACCTACCAGCAAAGAACATTTTGAACTCCACCAACGATGGAATTGAACCAAACTTGGCACACAGAACTCTCATGACCAACAGAAATACTGGAAGGGTTTGGAGGGCATTGACCTTGAATTTTGGAGTTGTACTTCACCTACATCCAGAGAGCACTGTGGACTCAAACAATGATAGATCTGGACCAAACTTGGCACAGATACTCAATATGCCCAAATGTGAACACTGGTGGAGTTTGGGGGAAATAAACCATGACATTTGGGAGCTGTAGTTGCTGGGATTTATAGTTCAGCTACAATTAAAGAGCATTCTGAACCCAACCAATGATAGAATTGGGCCTAACTTCCCACACAAATCTCCCATGCCTTGAAGGGACTTGCTGGCGTGAGCCTCCCTCTAGCCTTGCATGCACATGTGCACCATACCGCCATGCGCCGAACACTTCTACTCTCTCCTCCTCCTCCGCTTGGAGTCTCAGAAAAAGCCCTCCCCTCGGCTGAGAGGCCAGCCAATCACAGCAGAGGAGGGCTTTTGGTGGGAGGATTCATCATCTGTTTTCAAAAATGAAAGGAAGGACAGGCAAAGAGAACTTCAGCCTTTTCTGCCAAAGGGGTTCCTAAAACCATCAGAAATATGTTTTGTGATGGTCTTTGGCGATCCCTCTGACACCTCCCTCATGACCCCCCGAGGGGTCCCAAACCCCAAGTTGAGAAACACTGATTTACACATTTGAATGTGTAAATGCACACATTTTGTATTGTAGGAAAATAAAATGTGTGTTAGGGAATTGGTTTCATGCAGCTAACAATATGGACCTTAATTGGGAACAAGAATATTTCATAAAACAGGTGAAATAAAGAAACAGAAAATTTAAAAGTCTTCACAGTCTTTTAATCTTGTATTAATAGTTTATTATTGGGACCAACTACCAGACTGACCAAGGAAGATACATGCATGAAGGTATCTGTATCTGTTTTGGATCCAGCTGTGTTGCTGTTTGCATCATGGCCACAGGATTCATTGGCATCTAGAAGGTACTGGTTTTCATCACCACGTTTTGCAATGACTTTCACAATTACATAAATTTTGTCCACTTTGATCTAATGCACTGTTTCATCACTCAACTGGTTTCCATGGCTGAACAAGGATTGAAGTCCTGGTCTCCAAAGTCACAGTTCAGTGCTCAAACTATTAAACCATATTGGCTCATAGTGTAAGTCTTCAAAACAGAATGAGCTCTGACTTTAACATTGGAGACACAGAATGCCATTTTAATCTAATAGGAAGATATTGTATACCTCTAAGTCAATTCCAATCTATGGTGATCTTATTGGAGGGTTTTCTTGGCAGCATTTAATCAGAGTAAGTTTTTTTCATTTCCTTCCTCTGAGGCTGAGACTACGTGGCTTGCCCAAACTCACCCAGTGAATTTCCATTGTTGAAACACAATTAAGCAATCAAAATGATTCAAATATGTCTCATTGGGAACTTCAAACTATGTAGATTATCTAAAGCTTCTTTCTTTTTCAGTGGTCCTCACCCTTAGAAGCTTTTGAACTGTTTAAGTCTCAAGACATCTGGATAGCACCACCACAGTTCTACGAGTTATGCAGACTCTGCAATTTCTCAACACTTCATGATCTGCACACTTTTGGCTCTGAGCGAGCTTTAGAAGGATGTGAACGCTGGATGCCTGTTGTATTGGTTGCTTCAGATGGCCAGATACATATTTTACCAGGTAGATAAAATGATGTTTGAGTTAGTTATTTAAGTGGTGATAGAGTTTATTTACTATCTTCAGGTGGTATGCTGCAGAATTTGGTTGGTGCTCAAAACCAGATGCACTCAAAGGGAAAGATGGTGTGCTATTTTGGGAATATTGCAGAAGAAGGTGTTTATTGTTGGGCGAGTGGGCGTATTAACGAAAGATCCTCCTCATAAATGTACAGCAGAGTAACTTATTAGCAGCAGCGTGACCCAGCGCCAGTAGCCATAAGTGATAAAAAGAACAAAAACACACAGACCAATGTTATCTCTTCCATAGGAGGCTTTTCTTTAAAGCAAAGTAATATGGTTGCACAATTTACAAAAACAAGATTTTCATAACACAAATAAAGTTCTTTATACTTTACTCTCAGAGCCTCTTCTCACACCAAATTTCCACAAGAGCTCCATACAGGAGCTTTATACACACAGCAACCTTCACACTGAGGCTTCATACATGATGGCCTTCAACCTGGGGTTTCTCTCACAGAAACTTCTCACACCAGGCCTACCTCACACTGAGGCCTCTCTCAGACTGAGACCTTTCTCCCACTGAGGTGAACTAACACTGAGGCCTTCTCATACAGAGGCCTACAAACACAGAGGCCTCTTTTCCCACAGAGAACTCTCACAGACTTGAGGGCTACTAAACCACAAGCGCACCTGCTTACATTGAACTGCAGCTTTTGCTGAGTCATTGTATCAATTTAACCCTTTCAGCGTGACTCATATTTTTGTAGTTTAAAATACCTAGTTAATTTTTAATATTTCTAACATAGATAGTGTGCTATTTTGGGTATATTGCAGAAGGAGGTGTTTAATCCATCCTTGCACAACTTTTCTTTTTCCCAATTCAAGAATATACTAATGTAGTAGTCGAGGGAAGATATGGGGATGCCCAGTCACCATCTGGTTGCACTTCCATACACAAGAGAACAAATATTGCTATTTCGGTTCTCCATTGCATACTCATGTTATTACAGAGAAACAAGAGAGTGGTGTCTGTTCTTGTTGTGTTGAAAGAACCCTGAGAGGAGAAGTGCGGCTATTTGGCATGAAAGTGGCCTGCCTCCCTTTTCTGGGCTCAAGCATTCTTTCTAGTGAACTCTTATGCTCTCTCCTCTCTCTCTCTCTCTCTCTCTCTCTCTCTCTATGAGCGGGTTTTCCTCTTCTCCATTGTCACTGGCTGACCACCGTGGACATTTGAATTTTCATTTTTAAAATGTGTATGTCAGAGTGTATTTTTATATACTGTATATACGGCCCCTAGAACCATAAGGAATGCAAAAAAAAAAAATCACTGTTCATAACTCATTCTCAAATTGCACCCCTTAAAAATCAAATGCCCCACACTGGGAACCGGGGAGTTAGTCTGAGAGCTACATAAGCTTTTTGGCAATAGCCCTGTCACCATATATAAAGCACTTCCACCTTAAATGGCCACTTCCTTTTTTTTTTGCCAACTACTGCTTGCAGCAGTATTGGCAGGACATGTCAAAATCCATCATTTTGGCTCCAAAACCCACTCTCCTTTTAGACATGAAGTTTATTTATACATGAGAATTGATTGACAGCCTTTGTAAAAAATGTTGGGCAAGTCGGCTTAATGACAAATGCATGGCAGAGTAACTTATCAGCAACAACATGACCCAGTACTAGTAACCCAAAGTGATAAAAACAACAAAAATACACAGACCAATGTTATCACTTTCTTAGAAGGCTTTTCTTTGTAGTAAAATAATATGGTGGCACTATTTACAAAAATTTCCATAACACAAATAAACAAACACATAGTAGCTTTACACATAGCAGCCTTCACACTGGAGCTTTCTCACACAAGGCTTTTCTCACACTTGGCCTTCTCATAGACTTAAGGCCTACCTCACAGACTGAGACCTTTCTCCCACCGAGGTTTACCTCAGACTGACTACTCTCACAGAGCCTTCTCTCACAACAAACTTACATATACTGGAATTTCACACTGTAGCTTTTTACACACAGCAGCCTGTATACGGGAGCTTTACGCATCAGGTCTTCAACCTGGGGCTTCTTTCACTGAAGCTTCTCACAGCAGGCCTTTTCATAGACTAAGGCCTACCTTACACTGTGAGACCTATCTCACCAACAGAGACCTTTCTCCCACTGAGGTTTACCTCAGACTGACTACAACTAAGCTACAGGCACACCTGCTTATGTAGACCTGCAGCATTTTCACTGCATCCATTTAACCCTTTCAGTGCTTGACTGAGAGGTACCAAGATTATCACTAAAATACTAATTTATATATAATTTCTTCTTTTTTTAAGGTGATGAGTTATACCCAGAAGACCCTGATCTCACAGGAGAAAGGAAACCAACTTTGACATCCAATAAAAAGATTGAAGAACTAATGAAAGGTGTTAAGAAACTTCACCGAATGGTGCTACGAGGCCCTCATAATATTTCTGTCTATGCGAACATCCAACAAAAATACAAACATATCAATCCACAACATATGGATTCTAAAAATGGAAATAGTGCAGACTGTAATAGCAGATTATAATATTTTTCTATTATTCTAGGTAGTGGCATTTTAAAAACAGCTAATATATTTTTATATAGAACAACCTATATGGCAGCTCAGGGTGCTTGTGCCATTTTACTTAACACACCCCAAGCCTGCTGCAAATAATATAGGCTTCATTTTTCTGCTAAATGTTTGTTCAAATGTGATAGTTCTGGGCCTTACAAATTTTACCTTAATTTATACATTTATGTATTGAGATCACTAAAGTGCCAGCATGGCAATATTTTGCCATGAACAGCCCAGAGGTCATACATCAGTATGATAAGCTGAAATCATTTAGTATAAAATAGTTCAGTATCTTAAATTACTTTAGTTTTTAGCTGAAAGTATAGAGACATATCAACTTGTTTAACCTCACTGAGTTAGTTCACACTTGCTGCCCTTAGGATTCCAATCTTACAAATGAACTTAAACTCAATTGACTACTATTGATATAATACTCAGAAGTTCTATTTTTGAAACTGGAAAGCACTTTGATAGACATACAAACCAGTGTTGTGCCATCCAATTGTGACCTTATAAAGCGAATATATTGTTTCATATTATTTATGCAATATTTTATTTTAATTCCTGTATTTATTCAATATTTTAATTTCAAAAATGCCAAATGATATATATTTGAACATTAGCCATTTGGTGTGACTCTTAATTTATTGTTTGCTTGAACAGTTGTTAAAAATAAAATTTAATTTTCAGCAATGTCTTTTCTACTTTCTACTTTACACTTTCTGAAGTTTACATTATTTTCGGACTAAGAATACAGCCCAAATATAAGGTATTATGGTGCTAGGAACTTGCTAGATTAAAAACAACAACACATTTTCCATCTTGTTATATTTTTAGGATGTTCAATGTGATGCCTGTGGGTTGTGTGTTGCTCCTAAGTACCATATAATCATCATCATCATCATACAGTCACTGACCAACACAGAATCTCCATACTGACAACAGTATGGAGTTCAGCCTAGACAAATATGCCACAGTGGCATTAAAGAATGGGAAAATTATAGTGAAGACATAGAGATGCCAAGTGGACAAACCATAAAAGTGCAGTCATACTACAGCTGGACAATATCAAGCATGAACATGTGAAAAATGTGGTCAGCAAAGAATATGTCCTAAGGGTCAGAAAAATTCCGAAGAGCAAATTAAATGGTGGAAATACAATCAAGGCTATCAACACCTGGGCCACCCCTGCCATCAGATACACGGCTGGAATTGTGAACTGGACGCAAGCAGAACTGGATGATCTGGACAGAAAAACAAGAAAACTGATGACAATCCACTTATGTAGTAATGTTGGAAGACTTAAACTGCCCAGAAAACCAGGAGATAGAGGGCTTTTGCAAGTGAAACAAGTGGTAGAAGAAGAGAAACTTGTACTGACAGATGATGGGAAAGGCAGTCAACAACCAACATTGATGGAAGTCAATAGTAGAAAACTGCTTAAAGTGCAAAAGACAAAGAGTAAATACCGTAAAAATACAATGCAGAGCAGAAGAGAAAACTGGCAAAAGAAGGCTCTCCATGGACAGTTCCTGGGAAAAATTGAGCCAAATTGACAAAGAAAAAACATGGCTGTGGCTCACAAATGGAACTTTGAAAAAGGAGATGGAGGGCCTGATTCTGGCAGCCCAAGAACAAGCCATTAGAACAAAGGCCATCAAAGACAAAATTGAAAAGACAGAAGATCCCAAGTGTAGACTCTGCAAGGAAGCAGATAAAACAATAGATCACATCCTCAGCTGCTGCAAGAAGATCGCGCAGACAGACTACAAGCAGAGGCACAACACCTTGATGATTCATTGGAACTTGTGTCAAAAATACCATCTGCCTGCGACAAAGAACTGGTGGGATCACAAGCCGGAAAAAGTTATGGAAAATGAATACGTCAAACTACTCTGGGACTTTTGAATTCAGACTGACAAGAGTTTTGCAGCAGAATACTCCTGACCTCACAAGTATGGATTGTCGATGTTGCAATCCCAGGAGACAGCAGGATTGAAGAGAAACAGCTGGAAAAGCGGACACGATCCGAGGATTTAAAGATAGAACTGCAAAGCCAGTAATGGGGGTCCCAGTAGTGATCAGCACACTGGGTGCAGTGCCTAAAGACCTTGCCCTGAACTTAAAAACCATCGGCGCTGACAAAATTACCATCTGTCAGCCGCAAAAGGCCACCCTACTTGGATCTGTATGCATTATTCGCTGATACATCACACAGCTCTAGACACTTGGGAAGCCAGCATAGTGATCTTGTTTGCGTGTACTAATCTTGTGGTGTATCAAATAATAATAATAATAATAATAATAATAATAATAATAATAATAATTTATTATCCCACCACCATCTCCCCAAAGGGACTCAAGGTGGCTCACAAAAGCACTCAATAGTGCAAACTTATGAAATACTGATGACACCAATTCAAACTTCTGTGGTTTCAGAAAGTACATTCAAACTGATATGTCACAGATTAAAAAGGTGTTGCAACGAATGCAAGAATAAACAACCTCAAGAAACATTTCTGTAGCTTTGTTGAATTTCTGCTTCTCACGGATACTTTTACGAATCCAAGTCATCCATTAAAATGCAAGCAATAGAAGTGGAGGGAAGACTTCACTCTAATGGTCAGTATGGCCCTATAGACACTCATCACTGCTTCAAACTGAATAGATTGCTCAGTGTAGATAGGGCTAGCTTGATTTATTGTTTATTATGTCATTGTTTTTAACTGTTTTTTAACTCTTTTAATGATGTTGAGCATTGAATTTTGCTATTGTTAACCCCTTTGAGTCGCCCAAGGGCTGAGAAAAGTGGTATATAAATGAAGTAAAATAAATAGCTTGAAACTGCAGCGGCCAGACAATAAGTGTGCAAAAACATCCACAAGTGTGCAAAAGACAGCCCTTAATGTGCTCCGTGCTTCCCCTCGCCTTTCTCCACCTCTGAGAGGGCCTATCTCACAAAGTCACAATGCGGCTCTCTTTGTGTGTTTTTCCTTCCTTCCCTTCTTCCCTTCATACACACCTAGTGACATCACAGAGGGCCACTTCATCTTGCAACAGCCAAGCCAGTAACATCAGAGGCCACCTAGCATGAGCCAACCCAGCAACAACAGACAGGGCCACTCCGCCTACCAACAGCTAACCCAGACACTTCACAGCCAACCCAGTAACATCAGACAGGGCCACTCCACCCAGAAACAGCCAACCCAGTAATATCAGACACGATCACTCAACCTAGCAACATTCACCCCTGTAACATCACAGGGGCCACTCCACCTAGCAAAAGCCAACCTAGTAACATCGCAGGGCCACTCCACCTAGCAACAGCCAACCTAGTAACATCAGGCAGGGCCTCTCCACATAGCAACTGCTAACCCAATAACACCAGGCAGGGCCACTCCACCTAGCAACAGCCAACCTAGTAACATCAGGCAGGGCCTCTCCACATAGCAACTGCTAACCCAATAACACCAGGCAGGGCCACTCCACCTAGCAACAGCCACTCCAGTAACCTTAAGTGGGGCTACTCCACCTAGAAACAGCCAACCCAGTAATATCAGACATGATCACTCAACCTAGCAACATCCACCCCTGTAACATCACAGGGGCCACTCCACCTAGTAACACTGCAGGGGCCACTCCACCTAGCAACGGCCAACCTAGTAACATCAGGCAGGGCCTCTCCACATAGCAACTGCTAACCCAATAACACCAGGCAGGGCCACTCCACCTAGCAACAGCCACTCCAGTAACCTTAAGTGGGGCTACTCCACCTAGAAACAGCCAACCCAGTAATATCAGACATGATCACTCAACCTAGCAACATCCACCCCTGTAACATCACAGGGGCCACTCCACCTAGTAACACTGCAGGGGCCACTCCACCTAGCAACGGCCAACCTAGTAACATCAGGCAGGGCCTCTCCACATAGCAACTGCTAACCCAATAACACCAGGCAGGGCCACTCCACCTAGCAACAGCCACTCCAGTAACAAGCGGGGCCACTCCACCTAGAAACAGCCATCCCAGTAATATCAGACACAATCACTCAACCTAGCAACATCCACCCCTGTAACATCACAGGGGCCACTCCACCTAGTAACACTGCAGGGGCCACTCCACCTAGCAACGGCCAACCTAGTAACATCAGGCAGGGCCTCTCCACATAGCAACTGCTAACCCAATAACACCAGGCAGGGCCACTCCACCTAGCAACAGCCACTCCAGTAACAAGCGGGGCCACTCCACCTAGAAACAGCCATCCCAGTAATATCAGACATGATCACTCAACCTAGCAACATCCACCCCTGTAACATCACAGGGGCCACTCCACCTAGTAACACTGCAGGGGCCACTCCACCTAGCAACGGCCAACCTAGTAACATCAGGCAGGGCCTCTCCACATAGCAACTGCTAACCCAATAACACCAGGCAGGGCCACTCCACCTAGCAACAGCCACTCCAGTAACAAGCGGGGCCACTCCACCTAGAAACAGCCATCCCAGTAATATCAGACACAATCACTCAACCTAGCAACATCCACCCCTGTAACATCACAGGGGCCACTCCACCTAGTAACAGCCAACCTAGTAACATCACAGGTGCCATTCCACCTAGCAACAGCCACCCCAGTAAAATTAAGCAGGGTCACTTCACATAGCAGGAGAACACCACAGGGGCCACTCTACCTAGCAACAGCCAACAGCAGGGAGCATACAACGCCCTTGTTGTACCAGCTCCATTGGTTGCCGATTTGCTACCGGGCTCAATTCAAGGTGCTGGCGTTGGCCTATAAAGCCCTAAACGGTTCCCAAGATACCTATCTGACCGCATCTCGGCCTACGAGCCCACCAGGACTTTGAGATCGTCCGGGGAGGCCCTGCTCTCGATCCCGCCTGCCTCACAGGCACGCCTGGCGGGGACGAGAGACAGGGCCTTCTCAGTGGTGGCTCCTCGGCTGTGGAACACCCTTCCCGTGGACATCAGACTGGCTCCTTCCCTGATGATATTCCTCAGGAAATTAAAGACCTGGCTGTTCAAGAAGGCATTCGAACAAGAAGTGCAATAATTGGTAATGACGACAGGAATGGAACAACGGAAAATGATACTGGATTGTGGTTTAACGATGAGACGGCGCGAATGGCTTTTTGTATTATTGATATTGATATTGTTGATGTTGTTGATGACGATGTTTTTTGTTATTGCTAGATTGATTTTAGATTGTGTCTTGTAATTTGCACCCTGTCCTCTCTATGTTGTACACCGCTGTGAGTCGCCCCCGGGCTGAGAACAGCGGTATATAAGCACAGTAAATAAATAAATAAATAAATAAATAAACCTAGTAACATCAGGCAGGGCCACTCCGTCTAGCAACAGACATCCCAGTAACATCACGGGCCACTCCACCTAGCAATAGCCAACCCAGTAACATCAAGCAGGGTCACTTCACATGACCGCATTTCCATCTACGAACCCACGCGTTCTCTTCGGTCATCTGGAGAGGCCCTGCTCGTGATCCCACCGGCGTCGCAAGCGCGCTTGGTGGGGACGCAGGACAGGGCCTTTTCCGTGGTGGCCCCCCGACTCTGGAACACCCTCCCCAAAGACCTTAGACAGGCCCCTACATTGGCTGTCTTCAGAAAGAACTTGAAGACCTGGCTTTTCCGATGCGCCTTCCCAGATTAGGAAATCTCCACTACCAAGTCCCATAAGCACTTTATCAGAACCAATGATTGCTGCACATCGCACATCGCACTTGCCCTGGAAGCCCTATATACACCTCCTGTCACATCAGCACTTTTAATCTTGTACCCATTGCTCTGGCCCGGCCCAGTTTTATTGTGTTTAGTGTATTGTGCCTGTTGTTTATTTTGCTTTATTCTGTTTTTAATTGTTTGATTTGCTTAGATTGTATTGTTGTGTTGTGTGTTGAGGCCTCGGCCTGTGTAAGCCGCATCGAATCCTTCGGGAGATGCTAGCGGGGTACAAATAAAGTTTAATAATAATAATAATAATTCACCTAGCAACCGGCCATCCCAGTAACATCACAGAGGACCCCTTGACTTAGCAGCAGCTAATGGCCTTGCATCAGCGAAACCAGTAACATAACAGAGGGCCACTTCACCTTGAAACAGTCAACCTAAAAATATCAGACATAGCAAGTCAATCCGGTAGTAACCAGACAGGGCCACTTCACCTAGCAACAGTCAATCCAGTAACAGCGTTCTACTTAGCGGAGGGCCATCATCCTTCCGCCCTTTCCTCCTCCAGACTCCAGAAACAGAGCCCAGGGCACCAGGGAGAGAGATATATATATATAATATATTGTCGAAGGCTTTCATGGCTGGAATCACTAGGTTCTTGTGGGTTTTTTCGGGCTATATGGCCATGGTCTAGAGGCATTCTCTCCTGACGTTTCGCCTGCATCTATGGCAAGCATCCTCAGAGGTAGTGAGGTCTGTTGGAAGTAGGAAAAATGGGTTTATATATCTGTGGAATGGCTGGGGTGGGGCAAGGAGCTCTTCCCTGCTGCAGTTAGGTGTGAATGTATAGCTGATCACCTTCATTAGCATCAGAAGCAGAGCACCTGATGAACCAACCTGGACACAGCATTTTATTTGAGAACACAGAAATGCTGGACCACACCAACAACCACCATGTCAGACTACACAGAGAAGCCATTGAAATCCAAAAGCATGTGGACAATTTCAACAGAAAGGAGGAAACCATGAAAATGAACAAAATCTGGCTACCAGTAAAAAAACTCTAAAATTACAACAGCAAAACAACAGAGAGGAAACAACCAGGCACAGATTAACACCTCCCAGCAAGAGATTTTCCCAGGCTCAGGCAGGCCTTCAAATGCTAATGAAGGTGATCAGCTGAAACATTCACACCTAACTGCAGCAGGGAAGAGCTCCTTGCCCCACCCCAGCCATTCCACAGATATATAAACCCATTGTCCTAATTCCAACAGACCTCACTACCTCTGAGGAAGCTTGCCATAGATGCAGGCGAAACGTCAGGAGAAATGCCTCTAGAACATGGCTCTATAGCCCGAAAAAACCCACAAGAACCTAGATAGATAATATATTAGCGGCGCATCCCACTGCCAAGGATGGGGGGGGCGTGTCTTAATGTTCCCCCTCTTTTATTGCACCAAAAAGGACGCGAAGAACACCAGGAGAAATGCTTTAGAGAAATAACCACTCTGTAGTAACAAAGCCTCGGTGCCTTTCTTTCAACGGGGAGAGAAATGGGCGGCTAACACGGCGTCCTCCTCACACACACACACACCCCCAGGCGAGAAATGGTACCGCCCAATTCCTAACAGGCCTTATTTCAAGCGCGGAAAAAAAGGGAGATCAGTGCGCATGCGTGTGTTGCGAAGGCTTAGCACCTCGTGCTGGGCGCGCGGCTGACATCCGGGTATCAGAGGCGGTGGAGGTTCGCGCACGCGCGCGAGGGACGGACGTTGGAAGGTGAGGGCAGTGAGGGCCTGTTTCGTCTACAAAACTCGCAGGCCTTCATTACTGACTTTGGTACAGGTGTGTCTCTGAGTAAAGCAGACAACTTGGGCCTTCCCTCAACGCCAACTCCCACCATTCCTAAAAGCCTCAGGCCTTTTCCTTTTTTCCCTCAGCCGCTTCAGCTTCAGATGTTTTGGACTTCAACTCCCACCATTCCTAACAGCCTTAGGTCTCTTCCTTTCCCCCCCTCAGCAACAACTCAGACCCCTCAACCTCTGAGGATGCCTGCAATAGATGTAGGCAAAACGTCAGGAGAGAATGCTTCTGGAACATGGCCATACAGCCTGGAAAACTCACAGCAGCCCAGTGATTCCGGCCCTGAAGGCCTTTGACAACACTTTTTGAACCATTTCCCTAGTTTCCAACACACCTCACAACCTCTGAGGATGCCTGCCATAGATGTGGGCGAAACATCAGGAGAGAATGCTTCTGGAACATGGCCATACAGCCCGGAAAACTCACAGCAGCCCAGTGATTCCAGCCCTGAAGGCCTTCGACAACACTTTTTGAACGTTGAACCAATTTCCTAGTTTCCAACAGACCTCTCAACTTCTGAAGATGCCTGCTATAGATATGGGCGAAATGTCAGGAGAGAATGCTTCTGGAACATACAGCCCTGAAAACTCAGCAACCCAGTGATTCCGGCCCTGAAGGCCTTCGACAACATTTTTTGAACATTGAACCATTTGCCTAGTTTCCAACACACCCCTGAAACTCTGAGGATGCCTGCTATAGATGTGGGCGAAACGTCAGGAGAGAATGCTTCTGGAACATGGCCATACAGCCCGGAAAACTCACAGCAGCCCAGTGATTCCGGCCCTGAAGGCCTTCGACAACACTTTTTGAACGTTGAACCATTTGCCTAGTCTCCAACAGACCTCTCAACTTCTGAAGATGCCTGCTATAGATGTGGGCGAAATATCAGGAGAGAATGCTTCTGGAACATACAGCCCTGAAAACTCAGCAACCCAGTGATTCCGGCCCTGAAGGCCTTCGACAACATTTTTTGAACATTGAACCATTTGCCTAGTTTCCAACACACCCCTGAAACTCTGAGGATGCCTGCTATAGATGTGGGCGAAACAGTCAGGAGAGAATGCTTCTGGAACATGGCCATACAGCCCGGAAAACTCACAGCAGCCCAGTGATTCCGGCCCTGAAGGCCTTCGACAACACTTTTTGAACGTTGAACCATTTGCCTAGTTTCCAACAGACCCTTCAACCTCTGAGGATGCCTGCTATAGATGTGGGCAAAACGTCAGGAGAGAATGCTTCTGGAACATGGCCATACAGCCTGGAAAACTCACAGCAGCCCAGTGATTCCGGCCCTGAAGGCCTTTCGACAACACTTTTTGAATGTTGAACCATTTGCCTAGTTTCCAACAGACCTCTCAACTTCTGAAGATGCCTGCTATAGATGTGGGCAAAACGTCAGGAGAGAATGCTTCTGGAATAGACAGCCCGGAAAGCTCACAGCAACCCACTCATTGAACCGTTTGTAACTTTTTGAGCGCTCCAGCTGGAGGTCAGCTGTGACCAGCAGTGCTGCAGAATTTGAAGAGGCACGAATGGAGGGCAAAAGAGACAAACGTGCCAAGAGGAATGTGCGTCAAGCCAACCCCGACCGAGACCACCTTCCACCTGGAAACCAATGCCCTCACTACGGAAGAAGATGCGGGTCAAGAATAGGGCTCCACAGTCACCTACGGATCCACCAGAACACTGATCCTGGAAGACTATCCTACTCGGCCAACGAGGGATCGCCTAATTAAGTAAGTAAGTAACTTTTTGTGTGATGGTAACATGTTGCCAGTGTTTTGAAATTGGTTGGGCCTATCGGTTTGAAATACCCTGCACTACACACACACACAGAGGCATACCTCTTTGGTCTCCTAAAATTGGGGAGTGACAGTAGGCCAGGCGTGGGCAAACTTTGGCCCTCCAGATGTTTTGGACTTCAATTCCCACATTTTCTAACAGCGAATGTGGGAGTTGAAGTCCAAAATACCTGGAAGGCCCAAGCTTGCTTATGCCTGGCTGACTGTCACTCCCCAGTTTTGGGAGACCAAAAACGTGTGTGTCTTTGTGTGTGTGTCTGTGTAGTCCAGGGTATTTCAAACTGAAACCCCAGTTTCAAAACACTGGCAACATTTTACCATGATACAAAAAGTTACTTACTTACTTATTTAGGCAATCCCTCGTTGGCCGAGTAGGATAGTCTTCCAGGATCAGTGTTCTGGTGGGTCCGTAGGTGACTGTGGAGTCTTATTCTTGATCTACATCTTCTCCCGCAGTGGGGGCATTGGTTTCCAGGTGGAAAGCGGTCTCGGTCGGGGTTGGCTTGACGCACGTTCCTCTTGGCACGTTTGTCTCTTTCGCCCTCCATTTGTGCCTCTTCAAATTCTGAGGCACTGCTGGTCACAGCTGACCTCCAGCTGGAGCACTCAAAAAGTTACAAACAGTTCAATGAGTGGGTTGCCATGAGTTTGGCCATATTTCATAAGCATTCTCTCCACTTAAGCGGGTGAGGGGGAAAAACAAAGGGCCTGAGGCTGCAGTAGGCGGTGCTGCCATCCCGGGTCCTGCAAAGGGCAAATTTATTTATTTATTTATTTATGACATTTATATGCCACCCTTCTCACCCTGAATGTTTACAAGATCTATATACATACAATATATTATATTATTAGCATAGCAAGCAAGCAAAGTTTATTGAATAGTCTATTGACCGCATCATCATTAAAAACAAAAACAGAAACGTGCACAAACAGACAACAATCACCATCCCAAGACCCCACAACAGCGAACCAACACACATTCAAACCTGATTAGGTTAAAAGATAACTAAAAATATCATCATTAAAATGTCAAGATAAAATTTCATACCACAAAAATTAAAAACGAAGGTTAAAACGAAGGTTAAAATAGAGACTAGCTATTCCACAATCCTAATCCAGGTCAAATATCTGCGTCACCCCTACAGTTTACCCCAATCGCATCCAAATACGCAGTTCTCAGCTGCGTTGCTTTATGAAGGAAAAGGGCTGTTTGGTGTGTTATCTTAGCATTCTGGCCAGCCATTAAGAATGGAGTTTTGATATGGGGATCCCAGTGAGTCTTCTGTTTGATGAATGGTCCGAGGCATTAATTTCTCTCTTTGTTGTACAAAATACAATTAAACAGTACATGTGTAATATCCTCTACCTCTGTCGCCCCACAGATACAGAAACGTTCATTATATGGAACTTGGTTAAACCTTCCATGTTTAACCATTGTATCTGTCTGTTCGAATCGGGTTCTAGTGAATACCCTCCTTAGATGTTTAGGCATTTCTGTCTTTAGGTATTCGGCTGTTTGAAAAGTATGTTTAAAGCGACTTAACCATTTCAGTGAGCCGGCTTTACTAAGGGGGGCAATGTCTTTCTGAGCCTCTATATCCTGTATTCGTTGTGCCACCATTTTTGGATCTAATATATTATTAGCATAGCACAGCATCAGTATTAAATATTACTATATTGTATTATACAATAATATATTATTAGCATAGCAGTTATCCTACAAAATATTACTATATTGTACTATACCATTATATTGTAATATTATTAGTAATATTACATGTAATATACATATATAATTATAATATCATATTATTATTAGTATTATCTCAAAGGAGGGGCTATATATATCTATATAAATAAAAAAAGTAATGTTCGTTTGTGGGATTAACAGAACTCAAAAACCAAAATTGACACCAAATTTGGACACAATGTACCTAACAACCCAATGTATGTCCTTCACTAAAAAAAATTGATATTGTCATTTGGGAGTTGTAGTTGCTGGGATTTATAGTTCACCTACAATCAAAGAGCATTCTGAACCCCCCTAATGATGGAATTGAACCAGTCTCGGTACACAGAACTCTCATGACCAACAGAAAATACTGGAAGGGTTTGGTGGGCATTGACATTGAATTTTGGAGTTGTAGTTCACCTACATCCAGAGAGCACTGTGGACTCAAACAATGATGGATCTGAACCAAACTCTACATGAATACTCCATATGCCCAAATGTGAACACTGGTGGAGTTTGGGGAAAATAGAATCTTGACATTTGGGAGTTGTAGTTGCTGGGATTTATAGTTCACCTACAATCACAGAGCATTCTGAACCCCATCAACTATAGAATTGGGCCAAGCCTCCCACATAGAACCCCCATGTGGGCCACAGCAACGCGTGGCAGGGGACAGCTAGTATACAATATATTATATTATATTATATTATATTGTTAGCATAGCACAGGAGACAAGGTGGAACTGTCTTCTGCCTCCCTCTCTCTTCACTCTGGTCCAGAGCGGCAGTTGGTGCTGGGGTGAGGGATCCCCAACTGATGACATATGCAGGAGAAAAGACAGAACTGTCCCCTGGCCCCTCTCTCTTCATTCTGGCCCAGTACCAAATGTGCCTCCTACCCCTGTGATAAAGTATGGCTTATTGTCACACCTGAACTGAGCCTATGTAGATTTCAGTTGTGTCTGTTGCCTTCTTAGTTGAATTCAAACAACTTTGTCTAGATCAGCGTTTCTCAACCAGTGGGTTGGGACCCCTGGGGGACGTCGCAAGGGGAATTTCAGAGGGGTTGCCAAAGATAATTAGGAAACATATATTTCTGATGGTCTTAGGAACCCCTTTGGCAGAGAAGGCTGAAGATCTCTCCACCTGTCCGTCTCTTCCTTTTTGGTGTTGGAGAAACCCCCCAGAATTCATAAACTCCCAACCCCATGAGTATTCAGTGTTGGCCATGTAGGTAGTGTGTCAAGTTTGGTGCAGATCCATTGTGGGCTGGGTTCAGAGTGCCTTGAAGAGACTCGCTGGCGTGAGCCTCTCTCCAGCCTCGCGTGCTCTCCCTTGCATGGACAATATATTCTACAATATTACAGTATAATGGTATAGTACAATATAGTAATATTTAATACTGATATTGTACTATGCTAATAATAAAATATATTGTATGTATATATATCTTGTAAGTCGCTCCGAGTCCCCTTTGGGGGAAGAAGGGCAATATATAAATGTCTTAAATAAATAAATAAAATGAACACGCCGCTGCCATGGGCCAAGCATGCCTGCTCTCCCCTCCCCACTTGGAGTCTCAGAAACAGCCCTCCCCTTGGCTGAGAGGCTGAGAGGCCGGCCAATCACAGCAGGAGGAGGGCTTTTGGTGGGAGGATTCACCGCCTGTTTCCAAAAAGGAAGAGGACAGGCGGAAAAATCTTCATGTTTCCCTGCCAAAGGGGTACCTAAGACCATCAGAAATACATGTTTTCTGATGGTCTTTGGCGACCCCTCTGAAACCCCCTTGCGACCCCCTTGGGGGTACTGACCCCAGGTTCGGAAACACTGGTGTAGGTGGTAGCGATTGGTTAACTCACATTTTGCCTCCATTATTATTTTCTCTCATCTCATCTGTTTCACAGCACATAATCCAGCCTGACGTAGTATTCCAAATGATTTAAACATCAGTTTCCCTCCAATTGGATTTGATGATTCTTGCACCTCATGCAGAGCAGGTTTTTACAACAACTCTTATCCCTCCTGACTTAGGCACAAGTGTTATTCTATTTAGTGGGGCTTGTTATCTGTGCTTTAGAAGAATACACTTGCACTTCCTTAGTGGTTATTTATTGTCAATAGTTTCTTTGTGCTTCCAGTTTGATGCAAAAATGTCTCTTTGCTAACGAATATATCCTAACTTTATGATTCATGATTTCTCTTTTAGTTCTTTTATAATTTTACCACATTACATTCAAAACCTTTTTTGTATGTGTTAAGGGAATTCATTTTGAGGATGAAGTTTACTAATGTTCTGATTTGTTGCATTTTCAGACTTGCATATAAAGCTAGAAGAAAATGATTGAAGTCTTTATAATAAAGGTATCGTTCTTTTCTAAAGATTGTGAATGTATATGTAGGATACAGTTTGAGTATAATGGTGACTGCTAATGACCTTGCAGTGTTTTAATATATCTAAAATTATGGCTTGCTTATTGACTAGATTGAAAACCCAGGCTGCTTTTGGGCTGGCATAAAAGGAGGTGGAAATTTTGTAGACAACGAAATGGAATATAAAAAGCTTCAGTTTGAGATGAATCGATTTTATAATAAAACACATAAAAGCCTGGATGAAGTCAAACCATCGGTATTGGAAGAAGGGCAGGTAATTTTCTGCATTGAATTTATTTTGATGGATATGAAACCGAGGAGGGGAGGGAATGAAGATTAATGTTGGAATCTTAGTATTTATGTTTACTGAAATATTGTATATACTCAAGTATAGGCAGAGTTTTTCAACTTTTTTAAGGCTGAAAAGCCCCCCTCAGCTTATACTTGAGTCAAAATTATTTATTATTGTACTTTATTATTATTATTATTATAACATTTTCATTATTTTACTCTATTTTTATTATTACATTTATTATTTTACTCTTATGGTTGTTATATTTACATTATTTTACTCTATTATTATTATCATTACATTTATTATTTTATTCCCTTTATTATTATTGGAAGGATACGTAAGCACGTTTCCATTGAAGAAGTTTAGAATAATAGTTTAATCAGAGTTGGACAGTCTCATCTTAAATTACAGTTTTATTAAATATTCAAAAACGTTTAACCTACAGATGCCTCAATTCATGTAATTTTATTGGTATCTATTTTTATTTTGAAATTTGGCAGTAACTGCTGCATTTTCCATCCTCGGCTTATACTTGAGTCAACACATTTCCCAGTTTTCTGTGGTAAAATTAGGTGCCTTGACTTATTTTAGGGTTAGTTTATACTCGAGTATATACGATATGTTGAACTGCTCTTCTTTTGAGAAAGTGTGTGTGTGTGTAGGAACCTAGGCTTCTTTCCCTGTTATTTCTGCCCAGGAACATTGTTTTTCAAAACTGAGATATATCTATATATAATATTGTTTCTTTTTCAGGTTTGTGCTGTTTATTCCCAGGAGGAGAAGTCCTGGTGCAGAGCAGTTGTTGAATCAATCATTTCATGTACAGATTATTACCTGGCAGAATGTTTCCTTGTGGACTACGCCAAGACCATTCCTGTAAAAGCAGAGAAGTATGTAATTATTCTGAGTCAAAAAGTAAATGCTGATATTGTGCATCATGCGACTTTAAAAATCTGAATGATATTATAAGTCAGATTATCTCCGTATCCTATTATCATGAATACTTTTAAAACCAGGTTCTTTTTATTGCAATTTTCAGTGTGAGAGGGCATATCAGAACTTTCACAGAACCTTTACACAAGGAACGACATTGGACATACAGATTTTATGTAACTACATTGGATTCAAAAACAACTTACAGTTACATTGGCTAAGAACGAAAGAAAGAAAGGGGAATTCTATTTTCACTCAGCATTCACATTACATATTCATTCTTCCATCAGCATGCATACCACACCATTCTTCCTCCTGTCATCTGGAGAAGAACTCTTAGGCCAGACTCTGCTTCTCTGCAGCCTGCCAATGCACAGTTCCAAAATGCCAGAATACCAAAATGTCTTTCCCTAAGAACAATGCCAGGGATCAGATCTATTTTCCATACAGCAGAACCTGACTCCCTGCAATATGTATCATGACTCCAAAACACACTCCTTTTTCTTCCCTTGAGAAAGAAGTCCAAAATGTACAGAATCCTGCTTTCCCATAGCAAATCTGCCACTCCATACACCATCTCTGTCCTTCCCAATGGAGCAGAGCATAGCGGGTGAACAGCGTCTCTGTCTGTCATACTTGAGAACTATTAGATTGAGTCTTTTATAGGAATATTCTGCTGATGTTGTTCTAAAGTTGTAAATTAATGATAGATGTCTTCCATCCTGGAATATGTTGACTCCATCTCAGTTTCCTGGCCAGATATTGATTCTACTTGATTGGTGTTAACATTGTGTTGACTTCATTCTTATCTTTGTAAACATTTCTCTTATCACTGTCACAGTTCGTATCACAGTTTACTTTTTCAGTTCTCATTAGCAACCTTTAATTACAGTCCAGCAAGCGGATAGTTAGTCATTGCAGGCCTTAATCTTTTAAAATGGTGTCTCTGAAATTATTAACTCTCATTCATTCATTCTTTCATTCAGTTCCATTCATACCCACACATATTAAATCCACACTTATCAAATCTGCACATTATATTTCTTGTGACACTCTTATATGTTTCAGTTAGTGTTCTTCAAGTCATGGATTGGTGCATAATAGATAGAAACTGCTAGCTAGATCCTAATGTGAACTTTAACTGAAGACTTGGCTAGACAATCTTAGATCATTGATTTAGTTCAATTTTACCATTTGAGGCAGAGAGTAACAATGGCCTATTTCAAAGAGCTGTTCATGACAAAGCATGCATATTATGTCCATATTTAGGGTTCATGGTTTGCCTCTAAATGTTTTGAGTAGAGTGTAGTAATTCTGTGTTCTGCATCTCTGTTTTCAGGATTTGTTTTGCCTTAGAATCATTTATGAAATTGCCCTACAGAGCAAAGAGGTTTAGACTGTACCATATAAAACCTGTAACATTACGTGTCAACTACTATACCAACAGTGCGGAGATAGTGTAAGTATTGTTTGTGAGAAATGATCATATTCTGCAGTCTTATGGCATCTGTAGGATAGTATTTCTGTAGAACTGTATTTTTGAGTTACATTCCCTATAGCTTAAAAAGGAAACTTTTCTGCATAATTCTTGGGAAGTCAGGCTCGGTGATTGAGGCTTGCGGTCAATCGATGGTACTCCTCTGTTGCTCTATGTTTACTGATGATGCAGAAGCGCTAGTCGGTGCGAGGGCTGTCTATTACGTGTGCGTGCACCACTCGCCCACGACGGGAGGATGGGATCGGTGCCTGGGATCGCGGGGGGAGTCTGGCAGGAAGAGGGTGAGAAGAAGGTTCTGGGGCCGGCTTGCATGAGGGGGAGCAGGAGGTAAGGAGAGGGAAAGCAGGGGGGGGAGGTGGAGGAAGGGGGAGGGTGGGGGAGAAAGGGAAGGGAGGAAGAGGAAGAGAGAGGGGAAGAGAAAGGAGGGGAGGGGAAGAGGGAAAGAGAGAGGAAGAAGAAAGAAAGAAGGGAGGAAGAAGAGGGAGAAGGGAGAGAACGAGGGGGGGGAGGGAGGAA